CACATACACCTAAGGTGGCGGGTTTGAATCCCCAGCCCGGGCCTGCCAAACAACAATGATGGCTGCAACCAAAAAATGGCCAGGCATTGTGGTGGGCGCCTGTAGTCCCACTTGGGAGGCTGAGGCAGGAGACTCGCTTGAGCTCAGGAGTTGGAAGTTGCTGTGAGCTGTGATGCCATGGCACTCTATCCAGGGGGATAGCTTGAGGCTCCGTCTCAAAAAAAAAAAATGGTTTTTCTCACATGTGGTAGTAATAAAACCAACAAAAGCCTTTAGTGTTATTTGGTTCTATACCACAAATGTCATTATGTATTTTTGAGGGGTGATAATTTTTAATGGTGTCTTTGTGGTTGTGAACAGTATGGAGAATTGCTCTAAATATTTAGTATTTAGTATATAATTTATCAATATAGTACTTCATTCATTCTTGTTCACATACTAGAAAGTAAGGCAAGTTCACAGCTGGAAAAGCTGATACAAATTGGGTATTTCTACCTTAACCAGCTTGATAATACAGCATGGCAAGTGCCCCCCAATTTTAGTCAGAGTTAACATTTCAAAATCATTTTCTTACAGGCTGAAAAGCTATCAAAAGACTCAAAGAAGCCATATCATGGAGATTTCAAAAAAATCTCCTGTAAAGTCAAAAATACACATAGTAGGTATTCACATAAATTAGTAGAACCTACACTATTGTTATTAAAAAACAGTGTGTGAAACTGATACATCCCCTAGATGTGTGTACTATATGTATTTCAGACAGGACAGAATTGTAAAATCTCAGATACTATCACTCTTTTTGATTTCTCTATTGTAGCAGCTTCAGAGCTTTTAAAATATAATACCTAAGTAAGAATGCAATGGAGGAAAAGGCAGCAGTTTGAATCATTATACACCTATATAAAAGAATCTGTAAGCTATCGGTCACTTGTTTATGTTATCTTAGATGGGGACTTGCCAAGCCTGTCATTTGCTCTTCTCTCTGAATGGGTATGATGTGCTTTAGAGGAATAGAAATAGTATTTTCTATCTCACAAACATATATATAAGAAATCTTTTACAATAATAACAATCATCTGCATGAAATTAGTCTTGAAATTGCACTCTAAAGTAGTTATGCCACATTATTTCAATGCATATTTTAAAATAATAGACAAGTTAAGTATGATTTTTATTCTCTAATCTATTTAAGAAAAATGTAGAGCCTGTTTTTCCTTCTAGAGTTATTTTGGCAGCGTGAATTTGATTTGTTAATATAAGGTAAGTAAGTATGATGATGATTGAGAAGTTCACTTAGTGAGTGGGATATGGAATTATTGTAGCAGGAGATATAAATATATACACATATTTACACATACATACATAGAATTTCTTTTTCTTCTTCAGACCATCAAAGCAGAATTGGAAAGAGAAGTAGAAAGGGAGATAAGACAATTGACCTTTCAGACATTTTTGCTGCCTCCTGCAGAAAGAAATCTTTTTCTTCTCAGGCCTTCTAGAACTCTATTCTCTGCCTTGAAGGGGGTCAAGGGAGTAAGAGGCAATAGAGAGAAGAAATAAACCACAGAGACTAGGAATCAATATTTGCATCTAAAATCTACATAAAGGTAATAGAATTCTCAGGTTCGTCCCTAGCATAAACATTAAAATGTGAGGTTTTTCTTAAAAATAGCCATATAAAGTATTTGTATAAAGTAGATATCTGTGCATAATTAGAAAATACCTCTTTAAATAAAGTTTAAATCACTTTCCCTAACTGATTCTATTAAACTTTGGTTTATTTTTAGCCATGATAAGTGCCTGCAATATCATGCTGAAACGCTAGACTAATGATAAGTTTAATTTCAGCCAAAACAGATGAATCCATCAGCTTTCACTTGGGATAAGAGTCTAAATAACTTGACTGGGGCGGAGCAGTACTTTTGTGAATTTCCAAAATGGCTTCTCGCAGTGTGCACAATATGAGCCCCTCCCTGAATCATGAAGATGCACATTTTATTTGGCCTTTTTCTTTTATGTATCATAGGGATTGGAAGCAGATATTTGATCATTCTTTTGGTTTTTTTCCTTCTCTTCCCTTTTTGGTTTTATTCTTTTAGTGAGGTGACCTACAAATTTAAGATTTTAAATTTTTGACAGACCGCTTTCAAAAGCTCTAACTCTTCAGTCTCTTCCACTTTCATCGTCACAGTTAGGTCACACACAATAACAAATAATATACATCTTTACATGAAAATGGAGCACACGATTTATAATCCTGATAACTGTGTTCAGATTAGTATTATGGGAGGAGTCTTTCAATAGTTTTGTAAATGCACACTACTTCATCCAGATTAGCTTGATCTTTGCAGAAATGCACTTATTTTTTCTCTCCATCCCTTGAGTGCATGTGTTGTTCTTCTCAGGACGTGTGATTTTGTTTATTTAAATATTTTCGTATTCTTTGGCATCAGGAATCACTTAGATGAGATAGCTCCAGTGTGGCGAGAGCGTGACCTTTCCAAAGGTACTCGTCTGTTATCTGTAAGACAAAGAGAAAAAGAACCAAAAGCAGGGTGAGCTTTATTTTAGATCGTGGCTATTACATGATGTCAGGTTGAGAGAGGTTTTCAAATAGTCCTGAAAAATCACTTCAAATGAATATGTAAATAAGTAACAAGGAGCCCAGATCTGAGGAGTTCACACTGCAGCTGCCAGGCAGAGTTCAAGAGTTCTGCAATCAGCAATAAATGACTTTTCTTGGTAAGTGAAGTCAGAGTGATAAAAGAAATGGAAGAATTCTCTCAAGCACAGTCCCTTTGGAAATAGCAGGCAACAACAAAATTCCTCGGTAAAGATGTTAAATTGAAAGGATCTATGTACAGTGCCTTTTGTTGGAAAGCACTTCAATTCCTCATGAGTTTTCAATCTGTACGTTGACTACCTCTAGAGGACACCAGTGTGGGCAGAGCAGAAAAGAGTTTTTATTTTTTACAATGATTGCAGTATGTGGCAATCACACCAGCTACCGAATTTGCCTGATTGTATGATGTAAACAAATTCAATACATTATATAGTCATTATGGGAATGAATAATGAATGAGACCTATTCTAGGTCCCAATCCCCCCACCCGTCACAGGAAGAATAATCACTGTAGAGATAACTGTTGGCACAAAGCTTGGAAAGCAAAGTTTAAAAGCCCTGAAAGTTGCTGAAAATAGTTTTAGATTTAATAGGAAAAAGGTTTACAGCTCTGCATTGCAATGCTCACTACTATGTTATTATCACCTCTGTTTTATGCTGAGCTTAAATGCAATTGATGTGGGTGAAAATCCCTTTCTGACAAAAGCATAATATACTTAGAGTCTCTATTTAGAATGAGACTGGGTCCCCAGAAATAATGACAACCACCAGCACTTACATAAATGCTAACACTTTACACTCGTTAATTTGCTAATTTCACACAATATCCCCAGGAGGTGAGCCCATTTCATTCCATTCTATTATCTCTGCTTTAGTGATGAAGGTTACACAGCAAATCAATGGTATGATGGGGGATTATAATGCAAAGTTAATGCCTAAATGTCAGGGCTGCTTTGTTCAGAGGTAGGTGATGGGGCCTCCCAAGCTGCTACTCATTTCCTCCCTAAGATGATGATGTCTTACTAACACATCCTGCCTGGCACACGGGGAGGACAGTCCAACAATTGCTGATGTTTTGCCATGGTACCATTCTCTTCTGAGCTAGCATCTCTCGATTGATTCCTGGTAGTCTGTGGACAGTACACAGAGCAAAGCTAAGTGGTCCCCATGACCTTGCCCTCATTAACACCATGGTATGAGTATCTGGAGCCAATAAGCCATAAGCTTAAACCCTACCAAGTCCTGCATTAATGCAATAATATCACTGAGAGGCGAGAAAGGAAGAGGCATTTTCTCTACTCGGAGATATATCTGAGTGATGAATTATTTGGGTATCCTTTTGAAGATACCATTAAAAAATCCATTATTTAGTTTGTGATATGGATCACAATTCAGCAAAAAATGTGAAGATAACATTCCTGGATAAAGCACTTATTACTTAGATGTCACTGGTTTGCATACAAATTGGTTTGAAACTTCTTAGGAGACATTTAAAAATAAGATTACAATATTGGCCAGGCACACTTGCTCACACCTATAATCCTAGCTCTCTGGGAGGCTATGGCAGGTGGGTTGCCTGAGCTCATGAGTTTGAGACCAGCCTGAGCCAGAGTGAGACCTGGTCTCTAAAAAAATAGTCAGGCATTGTGGCAGGCACCTGTAGTTCCAGCTACTTGGGAGGCTGAGGCAAGAGAATCACTTGAGCCCAAGAGTTTGAGGTTGCTGTGAGCTATGATGCCATAGCACCCTATTGTGGGCAACAAAGTGAGACTCTGTCTCAAAAAAAAAAAAAAAAGATTACAATATAATGGTTCCCATTGCATTGCTGGCATTTAAGCAATTTGAGTATTAAAGCTATTGGACATGAAAATGACGGTGGCATCCCCAGAGGACGGTGCCAGCTGGAAAAATGCTTGTGCTTTGGTGGTCCTACACACTAAGGTCAACAGATACTCATACTTCATTCCAGAAATGCCGCTGGTTATCAGTCGCATACCAGCACTCATTACCCACTGGATCCAAGACAAGTACCACATGCACATGATGGGATGTAAGAATTCATATCAATTTGCCATTTATGGGTGGCATTTAATGTGAGAAAATAAACTGTCAGGTAAAAACAAACTGAGGGAAGGACATCGAAGCTTTTGGAAGACAGGATAAACAGTGGTTCAGAGCTCACATCCTGCTTTTGGCTTATATAAAAGAATTATTGTAGAATTTCTCCATCTCTTTTTTCCTCTCTGCCTTCTTTCTCCTCATTTTCTGCGGTGCCTAATTGGTCCCTAAGTTAATGAGATAATACTAATAATTATCTGTAAAAGTAGTCAATTACTTTCATAATGTCAGCCTTCAATCTTGTTGATGAAAAAAATGCTGTTAGAAACAATGGCAGCCATGGCTGATCCGGATTTTTTATTTATTTCCAATTCTCTGTATTTATGTTAAAATTCATTCAGTTACAAAATTTATACTTTTGTCTCATATGGATCAAGCCAGAAGTAAAATTTAGAGGATACTATGGATATCATAAAGAGAGAATGTGTGTGTATGTGTCTGTCTGTATGTGTGTGTTTGTATTGACAGAGGGAGAGAGTGGGAGATTTTTTTTTCCCCATGTTGGGAGTCATATCTTCTTTCATAAGGCCAGGACACATAGTGGGAGTTTATGAGAAAAGAAGAAATGTTAGATATTATTACTGTCAGAAGTGATGGAATAATTTGGATGATGGTAAGAATGATGGCATTTCCTGTTTGGAAACATAAGTGGAGGAAGTGATATGATTTGAGTGACCCAGTGAAGCAAATTCACTTTTTTAACTTGTCTTATTCTCCCAACACTATTGATACTAGTTGTGGTTAGGATGACAAAAATGGAGGACTCTCCTCCAAGAAGTCAATAGTTTAAAACACATGTATTTGCCTGAGATGATACGAAGGGCTTTGTTAACAAGTGGAGAGCTCCCTTTCTAATCCGCCTGCTATCTTTTTGGAAATCAAAGAGAGGAAGACGGAAGAAAAGAATTTGTCTATGTGTGTATACTTCTTGGAGACACTGCACAATGAAATACAAGAAACCACATTTCCTTGGAGGATGGGGTGATGAGATTTTTGTCATATTCTTCCTCTGCTTCTTTTTTCTTTCTTTTTTATTGTTTGGAATTCATTGAGGGAACAAAGAATTAGGTTACACTGATTGCATTTGTTAGATGAAGTCCCTCTTATAATTGTGTCCTGCCCCCCAAGAGGTGTGCCATACACCGTAACCCCCATCCCCTTCCCTCTCCCCTCTTCCCACTTGCTCATTCCCCTACCTACCCCTTGTATTAGGTCATCTACAGCCTTTATATTAGACTAGAGTACATTGGATTCTTGCTTCTCCATTCTTGTGATGCTTTACTAAGAAGAATGTGTTCCACCTCCATCCAGGTTAATACAAAAGATGTAACGTCTCCATCTTTTTTAGGGGCTAAATTGCTTCTTTTTTCTTAATTCATGGAGTAACACATCATAGTGAATAAGAAAGTCTAGAGGATCTAATCTATTTTCAGGGTCTAATATAACCTGATGGTTGAAGAATTCATTAAAGGATTCTCTTGTTTGTAAACATGAAGTTTAATGCTGCAATAAGCCTGAGATATCAGCCCCCAAATGTACCTTCCAAATCTACCACAGTTTGATTCTCTTTGGTCATCAAAGGCTTGTCTTTGAAATATGGCCCACATGAAGGTGAATAGATTCTGATGTTATGGAGAGTGACCTGGTCAAAGCATAAGGTTGAAGAGAGGGACATAGTTATACGAAAATGTTCATCCTATGGAGGAAGAGTAGCCAAAATAAAAGCAATCTTCAAAACTTTAACCAAAAGGTAATATAAATACATGGCCCCAGCCTAAACATGGTTCTGTACATTTGAAATATCACATTAACCACCTCAAACTGATGTCAAGGCTTTCCTGGCTGTCATGAGAGTAAAAAAATTCACTCCTTTCCTAAGCATAAATTGATTTGGTATTCACCTCAAAACCTTCCTGAGTTCCGCAGTGAATGGATTAAACCCCTTATTGTATTGCTCTAAGAATTCACTCGTGCAATAATTTATTCAGCAACTATGTGAAAAGCACCTGGTCCAGGAAATGCCTGAAAGTTACAAAATTTCAGAACTACACCTAAATCTACATCATTACTTTTCTTCTTACAGGACTTTGTGACGCGAAATAACTGAAGCATAAGCAAGCCCAACACAGATAAAGCTTAAACACAGTGTGACATGAGAGAGACTAGGTGAGGCAAGCCTGTGCTGTGTAACCGGCAAGTGTGCAATTAACCCTTTGAACAAAGTGAGCATATGCCAAAGGTGCAAGGCTGTACCCTGCATACTGCACGAAGAGGCTAAGCTGGGATTGAAAAAAACTGTGCTAAGAGGGACATGTCCATTAGTCATTCCCCACAGGTAGCTGCCTGTTGTTGTCTGTGGAAGGACTGTTTTCCTTCCTGGTGCTTCAAAGGCATGCAAATGTACCAATGTTGACCTAATATAATACACTAGTCCTCAGAGCAGGATAACGTAAACTAAGTATATATCCCTTATATGCTGCTGCACTTTGGGTTACAAAATATCCCATTTTAATGCAAATTAGTTGGCTAGAAATCCTCTGTAATTTACAATGAGCTTTGTTTTCTCTGAAGCCTTTCAAAAGTGATGGTGTGGCAGATTTACCATCTATGGGTAGGCATGGTTTCTAGCAAGCAGAGCAAATGGAGGTTCAAGTTTCTGCAGCTCAGGCTAAGGAAATTAAAAAAAATTTTTTTTTTCTGTTGCTTCTAGAAATGTCTACTGAGTAGCTATTTGCATCCTCAAACACTGACAAGACAACGTTAATTTATTTTTGGACTTT